GCAAGCAATAAAGATAGTATTATTTTGACATTTTTGAGCATAATATCAAGTCTTTTTTTTAAAATAATTCCACAAACTCAGTCAGACATTAAAAGTAAAATTCAACCAAAGTTAATACGATGTACATTAAAAAAAAATGTGAAATCTATTTGTTACTGAGAATAGAATGACAGTGTAAAAATAAAAGAACAAGAGTTCCAATGTCCCCTGCGCTGCACATATTTTATCTATCCAAGGTACAAAGGCAATAACTGAAAAAAAAAACCCACTTTTTTTCTGTTCTATAAAATTTTTGTAAATATCTAAGAGAAATGAATCCAGAGCAAATGCAATGCCATTTCTGATATAATTAATATTTCCAAGGGGCATACCTCGTTAATAATATTTGATCAGCACTTATTTTCGAAAGTGTCAAAGACATTGCTGATATAAATTTCATTAAATTTTCGCAAGAATTGTACACATGAGAGTGCTAACAATGCAATTTTCCATATAATTAATATTTTCAAGGGGCATAACTCTTTTAAAAATAATTGATCGGCACTGATTTTAGAACTCTTCAAAGACATTGCTGATATAAACCTATGATATAAGATTCATAAAATTCTGGCAAGATTTGTACACATGAGATCGCTCACAATGCAATTTTCCATATGATTAATGTCTCCAAGGGGCATAACTCTTTTAAGAATAACTGATCGGCACTGACTATTGAACTCATCCAAGACATTGCTAATATAAACCTATGATATAAGTTTCAGAAATATCTGGCAAGAAATGTTACACATGAGAGTGCTAACAATGCAGTTTTCCATATAATTAATGTTTCCAAGGGGCAGAACTCTTTTAAAAATAATTGATTGGCACTGATTTTCAAACTCGTCAAAGACATTGCTAATATAAACCTATGATATAAGTTTCATTAAAATCTGGCAAGAATTGTACATGTGAGAGCGCTAACGATGCAATTTTCCATATAACGAACGTTTCCAAGGGCATTATAAACTCTTTTAAAAATAATTGATTGGTACTGATTTTCAAACTCATCCAAGACATTGCTGATATAAATCTATGAATAAGTTTTATAAAAATCTGGCAAGAATTGTACACATGAGAGTGCTAACAAGACCAGACGGACGCCAGGTATTTCTATATCCCCGCAACGCATTGCACATTGCACGGGACAATAAAGAAATGTAGTATGATTGCAAAGGAGATAACTATCCATTAGAGACTAAATGACCTGGATGTAAGAGACATTTCAAAAATTGAACTTTAACAAGGATATGACAGCAAACACCATTACATTTCTACCTGTATGGTGTGAACTTTTACCACATCACCACAAATTATCCTTAAACAAATCTGACAGTCATCACTCTAGATTCTTACTGAATAAATCTTACACCATCAGAGCAGTGTAACATATAAACACTGACACAGATGTCACATTGTATTATTCCTTGTCACTTACCCATGCCTGCTGTATATCTAACATAATGACAATAATAAACCTATTATCTTACTTGACTATCTTTGTGTATCTTTATGTTACAGAATTATCTAAGTTGGTATTTACCATGTCAAAATATCGCACAAAAGCTACAGTTCCAGTGCCAATTTTTATACAACTGCTTACCAAATATCGTTGACTTACCATTAGTGATTCACAAAATTGAACAATGTTGACACCTCTGAAGCCAGAAGAAAGAGCAAGTCTAAGCTTAGTCTCTCCTGAACAGAGGCCCAACAAAAACAACTCTCTGCTGAAATAAATGACACCAAGACAAATACAAATTGGTTTGAGGGATGAGGGTATCATCAGCAATGATCTGTTTTTGCATGCAATTCACCTATATTCACTGTTAATAAGGAAAAATGTGCTCTTTCAATAACTAAATATTGGAATATGAATAAAAAGAGAAGTGGGTGTCAATATGAGACAGCAACTCATCAGACAAAAGTCATCTAAAAAGTTCTATAAAAGCTTTATTTATAGAAAAATAAAGAATTCTAACCTATACTGTCTCATTGTTGTAGACCACATGCCTCCTTTAATCAATATGAAAAGATTCCATGTATAAATTTTCAAAAGCAACCTTTGGAAACCTTTACTCACTACCTTAACTTTAAGTACAAGTAATTATGTCTAATCAGTGGAAAAAGTCAGATAAACCATCATATAAAAGGAAAAAACAATGAAGGCTGACAATTACTTATTTTCCTTAATTCCATGTATTCTAAGTGTGAAAAGATGTGAAGACTGACAGACATTATAACTGTAACTTTTATCATCACATTTATCTTACTGTATCTGAACTTGAATCTAACTTTTATCTTGTATAAACATATTACAATATTACACTTGCTTGTCATAGTGATTTACTTTAATATAAATCATAAAGCTTACCGGTAGTTACTTGCTAGATTCTCAAATCATGCACAATTAAGAAAGATTATTTTTATTCATTCAGAGAACCCCAAGGTGACTCAGGTGAATAAAAATACAGTCACATTAATCTTCTACCAACATGCAGTAAAACCCTTACTAAAATGGGATGTCTGTTCAGTTGCGTGGGATGTATAAAATTACAGCCACGACCGGTTAAAAATTGGAAAGTAAAATCTGATACCTCGTGCAGGTAGAGCACCACCTTATATTTTGGATTAGACATCTCTGCTCCAATGATTGTCTGTAAAACTGCATTTGTGAATATCAAATCCCCAACTGATGATTGCAACTCTTCAAGCACAAGTTGACCCCTATTACTGGATCTTCCTATTGTATGTATTGTTAATTTGTTCTCATCCTGAACATGCATGAAAAATTTGCCACTGGACATTCAGCAACAAATAATAAATCAATCTAAACTTATAGAGTATAGTCACCTTTAACAGTTGTTTTGCTTACACAGCTAAAGTACTAAATGACTTTATGATTAAAGAATAACAGTCCTGCCATCATCAATTGATCTTTTGATGGTCACAAATGCGGTCAACTGGCAATGTGAAGCTGAGACATCAAATCTGAAAATTGAGGTGGCTACTTTTCAAACATGGTACTGTTATTCCATATTTCTAATGCAACTCTTGTAAAAGGTTCAAAATAAAATAGTTGAAATAACCTTGAAAACATCCACTGCAATATCTGGCAACATGACTCCAACTGTCTACCAGAGAATTGAGGACAGATGTCATCCAATCAAAAGCAGTGTTACATATTTTATATTATATTAGAATAAATTATATGATAAAATATTCCCTTTTACACAGGATTCTGTTTAAAGAAGTTTCACTATGTCAGTTCAATAGTAAATGCTTTAAAACTCGGCCTTTGATGTGGAAGAAAGAAGCATATTTTTTTTACCATGAAAATATATTGTACAAGCTAGATAACAAAGTCTGATAGCGAAAACATACTTACTATATAATAAATAGCTCAAGAAACAATAGTGATGTTCAAACAAAGTATTGGTAGATATTCCCTGTAGAATGAGAGCAACAACTCAACTTCTTGCCAAGGCAATCAAGAATTCAATTTTCAGCAGAACAAAGCTTTACTCCAACAAAAGATATTAGCATTCTGAGCAACTACTGAGTACAATCAGGCTTTTGCAGTTTTGCTTTCACCATGTTTTGTTACCACCTTGTCTGGCAGTATAACAAATGAGTAAATAAACTGTTTACACAGCAGCTTGCATTTGTTATTGTTAAGCAATCCATTGTTTCAATGAAAGCTGTATAATTGTTTCAACAGATCCCATGAGCAGTGATGTTGGCAAACTTAATACTGTAGGCTATAGACAGTTCTATCAGCACCTTAGTAGAATGAAGACATTTTACATGCATGAGTGTCATTATTCAAATGAAAATGACTTTTTCAAGGCTGTTCTCAATCACTAACTCTAAAAGAGATATAAACTAACAAAAAAATCAGGACAAATATTGTAAAGGTGAGTTCCTGGTAAATACCAGCGTAAATAATAGAATTTTTTTTTTTAATTTGGTCAAATAAATGGATGTTGTACATCAATCTGATGTGTCAGAATCTAAAGGTTTTAACTGATGCATGATGGGTAATTTGTATGTTTAAAAATGTAGAAAAATTAAGTGTTCCCTAAAGAGGTTGATTTTTCTTTGTTTAGGACATTGTTAAACAAACAACTTCACTCAATGTTCATCAGTTTTAGAATATTAATTAATTGTTATGGTTAGTCGTACTATATATTTTTAATATCTAGCAATGTTAAAAGCATGCTCAATTTTAAGAATGAAGTCTAGAACACATTATAGACAGCTGTTTTGTGATCAGATTCTGTGGTTAGGTCAATATATCTGCTACAACATGGTATTTTTCTGTGGTCAGTCATACAGGTGTAATACCACCAAATCATAGTACGTCACATCCGGTTGCATACGAAAATAGGTCGACAAAAAATATTCCCTTGAATTTGACAGTTGTAGGTAATTGATCCTACATTTCATTGCAGTAAAACATTTCTGGGTCATAAACATATATCTTGGGTATTTCAAAGCACCATTATTTTTTTATTTGGGGTTTCTATAGATAATTTTGGAAACTTGAGGTTACATGGTTACTAAAGCTTGTACACAGGTTAAGAAAGGGGGGAAATTTGATTGGTTAACTTCCAGTGATGGTTATTTTCGTATATGCAATGAAATGTTATGTGAATTTTTTTCTATAGTACTGGACAGGATAAAACTTTACTCATGCCAAGTATTTCTTTATTTGAAACAAAGATAAATTCTGCACATTTTTTTGAAAAGTGCAAATTTAACAAAGACTAATAGGGGAAAATCAATGGTGGTATTACACCTAATATGGGAAGCTGTACATGCACCTTTGACCTTGTGAGTACTCTCATGTGTTAAAATTTCTTGCTATTTAAGTGAAATATTACAAATAATGAAATATTCTGAGTGGATTGAGTCTCCAAAACACATTTTATGAGAAAATTTCCATGAAATAGGACTTAACCATGAATATTAGTTTACAGAACAAGCCATACTTAGAGTATTGGGGAGTTTTTTCTCCTTATTTCTTATATTCTGCTATACCAGAAAATTTTTCCTAAGAAATACTTTAATAAATATATAGTTTTAAGTAAATGAAATTATTTTAAAAGCAGTAACAACAAATTATTCACCAAAAGAGAAGCTTTTTATGTCCCTCTCTGGAACGCGGCGTAAATTTAAGTTTTACGTAAGGACTTATTGAAACCTCCTTGGAGACAGTAAACTTTTATACGGATAGTTCATTCAGCTTGAATACTTCAATTAATCATTTATTATAACATTTCTATCATAAATGAGTGAAAGTTACCCCAAAATTTTTATTTATTGGCCTAAAAAGTAGAAATTTTGAGGAAATTAGAGGTATAAATGGACCAAAAGAGACCTTATAAGGAAGACAAAGAGGTCCATTAGTAGTATTTATCATCCTAAAGTCATCTTTTGTATCATATTCAACTGTTTGTAGGCAGATGAGATAAATATTTGATCATTTATTGGTCCACACTATATTCTATCATGATGCGGCTTGGTTTGGATTTTTCGAAGAAATTTTGCTCGAATCGCTGTAGATGTCGTCTTACATTATACTAGATTTTTCTCAAACTATTGAACTGATTATGACAAAACTTGACAGGAATGCTTGAAATAACCAGTATTACAAAGGAAAAAAGTCACATTCAGTTTATTTAACAAAAAAGGCTTCTTTAGGTGTAATACCACCAAATCATAGTACGTCACATCCGGTTGCATACGAAAATAGGTCAACAAAAAATATTCCCTTGAATTTGACAGTTGTAGGTAATTGATCCTACATTTCATTGCAGTAAAACATTTCTGGGTCATAAACATATATCTTGGGTATTTCAAAGCACCATTATTTTTTTATTTGGGGTTTCTATAGATAATTTTGGAAACTTGAGGTTACATGGTTACTAAAGCTTGTACACAGGTTAAGAAAGGGGGGAAATTTGATTGGTTAACTTCCAGTGATGGTTATTTTCGTATATGCAATGAAATGTTATGTGAATTTTTTTCTATAGTACTGGACAGGATAAAACTTTACTCATGCCAAGTATTTCTTTATTTGAAACAAAGATAAATTCTGCACATTTTTTTGAAAAGTGCAAATTTAACAAAGACTAATAGGGGAAAATCAATGGTGGTATTACACCTAATATGGGAAGCTGTACATGCACCTTTGACCTTGTGAGTACTCTCATGTGTTAAAATTTCTTGCTATTTAAGTGAAATATTACAAATAATGAAATATTCTGAGTGGATTGAGTCTCCAAAACACATTTTATGAGAAAATTTCCTTGAAATAGGACTTAACCATGAATATTAGTTTACAGAACAAGCCATACTTAGAGTATTGGGGAGTTTTTTCTCCTTATTTCTTATATTCTGCTATACCAGAAAATTTTTCCTAAGAAATACTTTAATAAATATATAGTTTTAAGTAAATGAAATTATTTTAAAAGCAGTAACAACAAATTATTCACCAAAAGAGAAGCTTTTTATGTCCCTCTCTGGAACGCGGCGTAAATTTAAGTTTTACGTAAGGACTTATTGAAACCTCCTTGGAGACAGTAAACTTTTATACGGATAGTTCATTCAGCTTGAATACTTCAATTAATCATTTATTATAACATTTCTATCATAAATGAGTGAAAGTTACCCCAAAATTTTTATTTATTGGCCTAAAAAGTAGAAATTTTGAGGAAATTAGAGGTATAAATGGACCAAAAGAGACCTTATAAGGAAGACAAAGAGGTCCATTAGTAGTATTTATCATCCTAAAGTCATCTTTTGTATCATATTCAACTGTTTGTAGGCAGATGAGATAAATATTTGATCATTTATTGGTCCACACTATATTCTATCATGATGCGGCTTGGTTTGGATTTTTCGAAGAAATTTTGCTCGAATCGCTGTAGATGTCGTCTTACATTATACTAGATTTTTCTCAAACTATTGAACTGATTATGACAAAACTTGACAGGAATGCTTGAAATAACCAGTATTACAAAGGAAAAAAGTCACATTCAGTTTATTTAACAAAAAAGGCTTCTTTAGGTGTAATACCACCAAATCATAGTACGTCACATCCGGTTGCATACGAAAATAGGTCAACAAAAAATATTCCCTTGAATTTGACAGTTGTAGGTAATTGATCCTACATTTCATTGCAGTAAAACATTTCTGGGTCATAAACATATATCTTGGGTATTTCAAAGCACCATTATTTTTTTATTTGGGGTTTCTATAGATAATTTTGGAAACTTGAGGTTACATGGTTACTAAAGCTTGTACACAGGTTAAGAAAGGGGGGAAATTTGATTGGTTAACTTCCAGTGATGGTTATTTTCTTATATGCAATGAAATGTTATGTGAATTTTTTTCTATAGTACTGGACAGGATAAAACTTTACTCATGCCAAGTATTTCTTTATTTGAAACAAAGATAAATTCTGCACATTTTTTTGAAAAGCGCAAATTTAACAAAGACTAATAGGGGAAAATCAATGGTGGTATTACACCTACAAGGTATGATCCTCAGACAGTCAAAATCTAGTTTGACACCTCATGACAATTGTAATTAATTATGATAGAGTACCTAAGAGTCAAATAAGCCTGCAGAAGTTCAAACTGCCCATTAGAAGCAGCTAGCTAGTTCTATATGCATGGTGCATAACAGAATCATACATATCAACAATTAGGCAAGTAAGTAATCATATAACAGGTATAAATAGACAGTAATTCTGAATAGGAGGTCTACTCATTATTACCAGAAAAGGGGGGGCATTGAACAAACTTAAATTTTTAATTGATTTTTATGAGGTATTAACATATCTTGAAGAAAAGGGAAAGTGTGTTTGCTCTAAAACCCAACAGACCTCCCCCTTCTTCTGCAGCCACCAATGTATTTGTTTTTCTTGAATTTGATAGATTTCAACATTCTAGGTAAATCTTCACAATAAACATTTACTCCATATATAATTACTGAGAACTAAAGTTGCATGCATTTGCTTTGAAGGGCACCCAGAACTAAATCACTTGTTTTAGTATGATCATGCATAGCCACATTTTTCATAAAAAAAAAATAATTTGATTTGAAAATTATCTCCTTATTTTTGAGATACTAAAAATTTGCCAAAGATCTATCAAATTCTATTAACTTTAATAATTTGATTACCAGAATATGCTCAGAAATCTATGACATAATATTGTCAGAACCTTCATAGTGAACACAAAAAGTTGTAATACTATAAAATGAGGAGAGATTACACGACTATTTAAAGAAAACCTGGCTTCTGAAATGAATTCAGGACAAATTAGCCCTGCCTGTTTCTAGTGGAACCAAATTCTGTGTAAACAACTGACACTTATGTAGGCAGTTTCACACATCTGTAATAATACTGTAGAGAAGCCATCATAAATTTTCTACATTTCTTTCTGAAGGAAAATAATTACATCTAGAAGGATGTAAGCCAACCTAAAGACAGCAAAGTTAATGACCAAGAAATTCCAACCTATATCATCCAAGCATACATCTAATTATTGTGTCTCTTTGACAACCTTGGGTAGCATCATCAATGGAACCCCAAAATATTATGAGAAGATATGACAACTTGGATCAATATGAAAAATAAATCCTTTGCTTTTTAGATCAAGGTTACAGCTCAATTCTATATTTACTCAGATCTGTTTGGAGGGTCTGATGTAGGTAATTATATAGGTAAAACAATACTAATTATACATGTAAAACTATACATATACAGCATTGTTATCATTTGATTATAAACTCAGGTAAAACAATACTTAATTATACAGGTAAAACTAGACTTAATAGCACTGCTACATTTTTTTTTCTCTTTGAAAGATGAAATTCATTTCATCTACAATAATTATATATTTCATATTAGTTTTAGAATCAATATTTTCTCTGGTTTCTATTCCAAAGATCACCTTCTCTACCTGAAGCAAATCTATGCTAATGTCTACAGACACAATTAATACTCCAGTAGCATTGCTCTACTTTGCAAGTTTGACAGATTTTAAACAAATTGAGATATAAAGGCTTTACTTGAGAGTAATAGAAAAACAAAGGATATGGAGTACCCATCTATCAAATATTGCTTCTTGAAAAGGCAATTTCTTTTCTGCACCACCATTGCTTTATAAAGTGTTCTTCTTCTTCTTCAATTTGTATCAGATGTTTTTATATAGAAGTAAGAATATGTGGTATGAGTGCCAATGAGACAACTCTCCATCCAAGCCACAATGAGTAAAAAGTTAACAATTATAGGTCGAAGTACGGCCTTCAACACAGCGCCTTGGCTCACACCGAACAGCAAGCTATAAAGGGCCCCAAAATGATTGTGTAAAACAATTCAAACAGGAATATATATATATACTATGGGATCATTGTCTCAGTTTCTATAACCAACCTCAGTGTGAGTTAACTCTCGAATATAATACCATTAAATTAGGACTGAAACAATGCTACAATCCATATTATAGGCCGCAGTGATTTGAAAAGGTTAATAATGAGAAAAGCAGACACATTTGCTATGTAGACCATTTGCCAAATCATATCTGTTCCAACTACAGGCAAATTAAATTTTAATACATTGAAATGTTTTGTCTCCATTATTGTATACATATATATATATATATACAAAATAAACTGTTAACACAGAGATATGTCTCGCCTATTTGTTATTTTGATAATGCAAATGTTGAAATTAAAATAGCAATACTTTAACATGTAAGTTATGCAAATATTCAAAGTCAATGAACCATGACTGAAGGTACATGGCTAAACAATCTCAATGGAAATGAGAGATGTGCCAATGCTAATACAACTGCAAACCAAACTCTTGACTTTTCATAAGTCGTTCCCTTTAAACAAACCTAAACACAAACATTAACCTGTAAACTATGTAAATGTTTCAAAGTCAATGAACCATAATT